AAACGGCTTATATAATAGTGCTCTTTGTCATCTGGCTTATATAATTTTCCAGTCATGTGTGCAGAACTTCAGACTCCGCTCGGCTATCGCCGCAGCACTGAGGAGACACTAGATTACTACGTTCTTATCGCGCTTCTTTTAAGTTTTGACACGCATACGTGCAATTCGGTTCCCCTCGATCAGCACGCTCGCCATTCCAGACCTCTCCTCGTTATTTGAACTCCACCATGGTCGTTTGCAGCTGCAGCTGGACGTTTGCCAGTGGAGTTTCACCACCTCAAGGGCTTCGCCGCCGGCATCTGGTCGCGTCCTCGGCCAAACATTCTGAGGTCGGGATGATGTTGAATGCTAAGCTGAAGAGCCCAAGTGGCTTTATTTTTTTCCCGAGAATCCTTCAAAAACTTTCCATGCAGGACTCAGAGTACGTGCCCCAAAACAACCTCCATGCTTAAATCAGCACAAGTCACGGCGCATATTTCCTGGTTACGCCCCGACTTCTTCTGAGGAATTGTCTAGAACGCGTCCTGAGTTCGGACCGCCTATGTGCAATAGAGGATATACAAATGTGCAATGAGGAAGGCACTTATATGATAAGGTAATTTTGTTCCGCTGAATGTTCACAACCTACGCGCCGGCCATGACCACGGCCAATCCATGGAATGTCCCATCCACCTCAATATATGACTGATCTGCACGTTTTCAGGCTGCGCAGCGCCTTGTCGAATGGTAGTGCCAAGGTTGCACAGTGAGACGGTATAAATCTTCGCAACCCGAAGCTTCCTGATAACACCCTAACAGACACTTCACGTCTTGTTGCTGTCCGCTTCACTATTCGGCTGGTTAGTAATAGTAGTAATCTAGTGTGGACTCACAACTTGTTCCCCTTCCGCATTATGTATGGTCTTGTACTGAGCCTGCAACTCTTCAACTTGTTCAAGCACTTGTGGAGGAGGAGGTGCGAGGGAGGCGCGTAGCGCCGACTGAGCGCCAACGATGACCAGCTCTATTCAAAGTTTCAACTCACAAGTCAGTTACTGTCCCATGATGATTGTGTACGGCCGCGGTCACCGTCTTGTACTGGGCTGGACCTCTCTAAGCACTCTCAGACTGTTGGGGGGGAGGAGGCGCGAGGGAGGCGCGCAGCGCCGACTGAACGCTGACGACGACCAGCCTGAGGTAGAGAAACATGTGCAAGAGAAGAAGCGGTGTGAAGGAAAGCATTCATAAATTTATTATAGCCACGAAAAATTTATGGTGGTGAAATATATTCATCCCTTAAAATTTCTGCCAGCCACTTGCCGGCCATCTGCTTTAGTGAAGAGCGAAAGAGAGGACAGTCAAGTGCTGATCCGTCACGGTTGAAAAAAAAAAATGAATTTGAGTTGGGACTCGTGGGGGCGAAGCATTCAGTTGGGCCAAACTTTCTTTCTCTTGCATTCTTGTCAATTGTCTATTTGTGACCCGCCGCTTGCCGGCCAACCTCTATCATTGTGCTCAGTGTACCAAAAATGTCTCGATTCGGCTTATATAATCATCCACTTAGTCATGATTGATCTCGTGACTCTCAGGGGCTCACTCAAGAGTCAATTCTCTCTTCCGCTCTCTCTAGTCAAGCTGTCCCTGTCCTGTCCTCTTTTTTGAGTCAGTGAACTCACTCTGATCTCTAGCTGACCCAAATCCTGTTGCCCACCCTTCCAAACAGAAAACCAACCAGACAGACTTTAAGTTCAAGTTTCCATAAGCCGCTGTCAGCGCCGCGGGAGGCAACCATACCTCGGAATTGTTTATATCATTTCTTTCTTTCCAATAATTTCATTTCTTCAGCACAGGCTCTCCTCACTCAATGGGGAAGTACCATAATCTCAGCCTCAACTGAGTCAACTCTGAGCTCGACCCAGGGCTCGTTGCACCGAGGACGGAAGCAGCGCACCTATGTAGCATCCCATGTAATTTGTGCTGGTCTACTTTGTATTCAAGTTGTTCATTCGCCACAAATTTCCTTGTAAATATATTGAGAGTATTCAAACTTCACAGTGAGACAATTGAACCCGATGAATTGTTGAACAGTCAGTCTGGAATAAAATAAAACTGCTCACTCTTCATTCCCAGTGAAAAGGCCAGGTAAGGAAACTGAGCGAGAACGAAGCAGAACGAGGGATTGAGGCAGATTGAGGTCCAAATTGAGATTTTCTTTTTCACACTCTGCATTTGCACAACCTGCGTGCTTTTTTTGTGCTAAGTTGTCTTCTTAGATGCACGTCTGACGCGTCATCGGGTCATTGGCGCGTCCAATGAATGAGTCGAAGTTTTACGATGTCGGAGCTTTAATCTGCTCTTCCCCCCTTCATCTTCCTCCGCCCGCGCCATCTCGCCCGTCGCCCTCCCTTCATGTTGGCCGCCCACCATCGTCCCTGGGCTTCCTTCCTCTACCAGGTAGGGGTTCTTGACTGCATTCATTCATTTCCAACAATTTCCGTGACACTTTCACGCAACATGTCGACTCAGTATGTTCACCCACTTCATTTTCTCGCAGTTCTTTACCGATTGGCTGCCAGGATCTGTGTTTCGGCCTTCTGGGTAAGAAACGTCCGATCCCCTCGTGTATTCCGCTACTGACTTCCTCATTCTAGTATGATTTCTCCTCCCCCGTTCCAATTTCCTCTCACGAAGCCGAATATATCCCCGCGCGGCCCAGTGCCCCTACTGTCGTTTGGATTCATTGAGTCCGTCAATCCGCGAACCCATTTCCATCTTTCTGCACCCGCCTATCAACTGCTCCTAGGACATGCCTTGTGGACTTGCCTGACTGGGTATGTGATTCAGCGTCTCATTTCTTTTCTGCTGATGACTGCCCTATTTATTCTAGTGAGATATTTGTCCGGCCCTCCCCATATCCTCTCCTGTGTCGCCGTCTGTGCTCCAACCGTCCCTCGCCCATCCGCTTCCCCGACACATTCTCGCCGCCGCTGCCTTCTTCCACCTCGTTCCACGTGCACCGACCGGTTTCCCGAGCAATTACCACATCGAGCGCGACCGGTGTCCACCAGATCTCGTACCGCAGTGAGTGCTAGGCGGCGGGAGAGGGGAGGCGGAGAGCGGTAGATTATGTACCCATGTAGCAGTAGCAGTAGCGCCGGCAGCAAAATAAATCGATTTTCTGTTTTTCTTTTTCAATGTCCCTCGATGTAGCTAGATATCCCCTCAACGCGGTTCAATAAGCCTCAACACGGCTCATTGGTCAATGAACCGGAACGAAGATAGTCCGGATTAGCGAATGAGATTGAGGAGTTTGGCACATCCTCGAAGATCCTTGATCTGTTTCGTTCTCGCTCAGTTTCCTTACCTGGCCTTTTCACTGGGCTGCATTAGCACCTACTGTACTGCAAATAATTCATCCCAATTTCTGTTTGTGACCCGCCGCTTGCCGGCCATTCACTTTCATAGAATCAGCGAGTTGGTGGAACAGAGCGAGTTACGTCATTGATGCGGGGATGGCGCCCCCAACGTCGACTTGGTCGACTGGCTCGACGAGCTGGACGCCATCGTGGACTCGATGGTGCTTGTAGGCCTCAACAGCTTGGTTTGGCACTGACACCAGCCTTATACATACCCGCCAGATTTGCTTCCGGATCCACCCGCCCGCGCCGCGACACGGGAGCAGGTTTAGACGCGGATCTTAGGCCAATAAATATCCTCTTGGAAAGTTGGAGGGAATCAGACATGGTGTAGTCGGAAACACGGCCTTCAATTGTGGAAAATTATTCCCTGGTCAGGTTTTGGAGGTAGTTCGGGGTTCGAATCCCTGTGTCTGAATGCCTTAATGTGGCAATTTTTTTTTTCTTTATCTCCTTCATCCCCATCCCTCCTCAGAAGACTCTAGTCCGGCTCGAGCCACATCCCTAGATTCAGCGTAGAAGGCCGTTAATTTGTGACGAAGGTCTTGATGTTTTCGATGAAGTACATATGTATTCTCCGCCGAAATGGATCCAGCTCTATTCAAGAGAACGGTACAGTGTTTGTCAAAGAGACCCCGCCGTCGCTATACTATCTCATTGTTGTTCCCGGGGTCAACTGCAGTGTTGAACTGAATTTGAACTACGGTTACAGTAGACTTTAAATCCCTCGCTCCTCTACCTGTCTTCCTCTGCCCATATCCCTCTTCTCTGTCCTCTCCTCGCTCCTCGCTCCTTGTCTCCTCTCTTCCACCTCCCCCCTCGCGCTCCAGGTTCCTACATCAAAAGCAAATCGAACTGAGTCGACTCGAGGAGCGTTTGAACATAGATCATGTGCATGGTTGAAACCCACTCCGGCCGCATTTTCGGGAGACCGCCCCAGCCCATGATATCATAGACCCATATTTCAGAGGCAGCCGTGATCAAGAGCTGCGGCTGGCTGCGGTAGGCTGCGGTACTCTTTCCTGATTTTGGTAGACTGCTCACAGATTCATCGAGTCACCAGTGTTCAACCACAATACTCAAACGAGCTCATAAATACTCCCCAGATGTTTTGAGAATGGACTTGGACATGGTGTAGCGGGAACACGGCCTCCTATTTTGGGGATTTAGTAGAGATTGAGAGGCAGTCCAGGGTTCGATCCCCTGTGTCTGAATTCGGGTAGAGACGTCTTTTTTTCGTCTTGTGTTGCTCACTTTATTTTCTCACCGCTGCGCTGGGTGGGCTGGCAGGAGGCCTGGGTGGTTGCGTTGTTGGAGGAACAAGGCCGTAGGGAGTCATTGGGGGGAGGGAGGAGATCATATGGAGCTCGGAGTAGAATCCGACATGGGCTGTGGAAGTCCGTTTGGATGTAGTCGTTTTACTTTAAATTTGATTTGAGTTCCTCATGTGCTGGTCATATATCCTGATTTCAAGACGGTTCGGGTCGTTGAATGCGAGGATTACGAAGATGAGAGGAGCGAGGATGAGGATGAGGACGGAGATACGCCAATTTGACCGGTCCGCGGTATTTCCGACTACGAAGTCCGCGCGACCATCCTGCGGGTTTCCGTCCAGAGCGAGAATCTTGATTGCACAACTTTGAGGCCCGGAGGTCCCGGTTCCCCCATATCGCGTTAACTACTAATATCCTTACTACATACCCAATACTGTATGCTTCGCTCTCTATCAGGTTATCGGGGCAATGTTCGACATCGCTTCTAGTAGGGCACAAATTGAACCAAGGTTTCTCCCAACACATTTAACAGTTTTGGACGGTCAGAAAAAGAATCCTCGTGCATAGACGCCGCTTTCGAAGATTAGAATCGTCACAGTACTGTCACTTGGCCTTGGCGGCTCGCATTTCGTTTCATGTAAGTTGTATTCCAAAACCCTGTAAATAGTGGTAATTTTGCACAGTATATCGCCCATAAAAGAATGATGCACATAGAGATCGCTGTACGGGGAACGGCCGCCAGGTTTGGCAAGGCGAAGATTCCTGCGGATGCCCTCTTATTTTGATATGTAAATATATGGCGGCGACAGGGAATGCAGTAGTACTCGCGCGAGGAGGATCGTGAACTATAGTTGATCGTCGGATGATCCACGCTTGCGCAGCTCCACTACCCTGCCCAGGTACATAGAAAAGGAGCCAAAGCTCGCAATGTTCAACATCTAGAACAAGACATCTGCAGTCGGAGTTGTGATAATTTTTTCCAGCACGTCCAGGTCCATCGCTGCGGCCGCCCTCTGAGCATCTAGAGGATAGGCATGGGAAACTGTGCTCGCGAGGATGTTTAAAATCCATCTTACATTTCGCCTCGCGACGAGCGATGATCACAATTTGCGGCTCTCCCCAGCCGGACTTTCTGCATCCTCTAGTCTACCGACGTGCGATTCGTATTCAGACTTGGTGGTGTATATTCCTTGCCCCCGTGGGCGTCTTTGGCGTGGGCTCATCGGTATCCACTTGCAGCGCAACCCCATAATCATGGGAAAGAGTTTGGTCCTGAAGCATTTTCGGGTGATTCTGGGCGGCCGGTGCGCTCTTGGCCTGAACGTCGGAATCTCAGGATACCTCGCCATATTCCTGAGGGAGGGATTCTAATATCGCCGCGAGATCCTGGTTATGTTTATGTGGGAATGGCACGTCTGGGTTAGATGAAGTCGGAAGGAGTGCCTCTGTCATAAAACCTGGTCAATTAACGAGGGGTGGGACGATTCAGACGACACGCACCAGACGAACACCACTTCAAATACGTCAACGCCATCCTGTGCGCATCTGGCACCGATCACGCGTGTGGCGTGCGCCGGGTGGTGTGCGATATATGTCCAGTACTCCCGCCGCATTAGGTCCGTCGACGAATAGATGTCGGGGAATGGCATTTCATTCGGAAAGCGCGGATCAGTGCCGGTGTGGCGTTTCAATGAGATCTGGTATTTGTGTGAAATGATGAAACAAGCCTCGTCCGATTGGATGTGGACGTCTTCGCAAAGGAGCTGAAACTGCACATCGCGTTGAAAAATCTGGTCAGCGATTTTTCTCAATCGCAATTCATCGACGACGAGAACTGTCGGCGCCTTAGGCCCCAGAGCTTGACGTAGCACTCGGTACCATCAGGTCTTGTGTATGTCTTCCAACTATGGGCAGAGGATATAGATCTTCATTTCACAAGACCGGGATGGTACCTTTCAGCACCTTCAACGGACTCGTAGGTTGAAATAGAGATCATGGAGAAGCGACTAGCTTGTCCTTGAGCAAACGCCACACTGTGATCGTGATCGTCGGTGATTGCCGAAATCGGCCTTGTCTTCGTTTTCAATTGAACTGGCTTCAGAGACTATTAGAATAAAACTATAGAGTCCATGCAAAACCCCAAGTTCCAATTGAACACATTTTCTAACTGATCATCGTTATTCCAAAAGCCTAATCATAAACCTCAGCAGACCATTGCGTGGATGCAAATGATACTGGGCAAGGGTGATAGAGAGATGAAATCTCAGGGATTCAGTCAGAATAAAAATAGGAGGCATCATCAGGATGCATGCGAACTTATGCAGGTCCCAAAATCCAAAGGTTTTCATTTTGAACATTGATCACGTGCACAGTTGAACTTTGCAGAAATAATCCAACGCGGAATTTGGCTTCGGCTATATTTTTTCAGATGGGGAACGAGAGCGCGCGGGATTCTCGAGGTACTCATCAACGCTTAAATTTCGCTGTACGACGGTATTTGGGCCACTCCGGTAACCAGCATGTTCTTTTCTGCTAGTCCGCCAAACAGCCAAATTAATCTATGTGTCTATGTAGTTGCCATGCCGGTCGTCCCACAGCCGATGAAGTCCCGATCAAACGAAATACAGAGCCCTACCCGTGGGCGATAACCCATCGTGTCCCTCCCAAATTCAATTTCCCGCACTTATGCTCCAGCGTCCGCTTTGACGAGAAGCCCGCCAGTGTGGGATGCGGGGGCAGTGGGTGTGCTGCGCATCGCTTATCAGTCGAGCCGCAGTGCATTCGACCAAAATGACAGAATTACCCCCTCCAAGCCGATACTTATTCCTCAAGGGCTTGGAGACCGGAAGTAACGTCGGTTTTGGCTGCAGCACGGTGAGGCTCTACGATGGAATAAGCACCAATTTACTTGGTTCGTTCTCGTTACTAGAAAGCCGAGACCGTCAACAGCGGTTCTGCAATTCCCAGGCTCCGGAAAATATCCCACACAGGGGTCCAAGCCCTCGAAAAGGCGACCGGTACTGAGGGATCCATTTCAGTCTCTGTTCCGCCGATTTTTGTTCCGCCGATATCGTTGAACAGGCGGGGTCGGGACTGCGGTAAAGATTCGGAGATGCGAGATGAGGGTTTTCGAAGTCTTGCATTCCATCCTGTATGGCGGGGCGTGTGATTCCGGCATGCAGGAGATAGCGCACATAATTCTCCACATTTCGCGCGCCCGAAGATGATGGGTGGAGGTTCAAGAAAATTGTAAGATAAAAGATAGAACGCCTGAAGTTCGAAGATCATGAGTATTGGTATGGCGTCTATCTCTGTAGAGAGACTATGCCTGAAGGTGCTCATCTCAAAGTCGCGACTGTCTGGCGAGCATCCGCATGGTGCAGGTGTAATTCGAAGCGCCTCTGCAAACTAGCAGACACACCAACAGACTTTTACCCGCTAGTGGGCTCTCAACGGGCTTCAGGTAGAAACCGATCCAGCAAATCTTGCTCGTCAAGCTGCTCGTGATGCGGGACCGTCTGCGCCGTCCGTCCTAGAACCACCCAACCGTCAGCGCGCCATTCATTCGGACGAATGAGACCGCGCACCTGCTTTGAACAGCCCTATTAGCTCCGAAATTCAACCAAGGTTGAACGTTGAACCTTCCCGTGTGTCGGCCCGGCGCGGGTGGATCCGGAAGCAAATCTGGCGCATATGTCAAGGCTATTGTCAGTGCCAAGCCGAGCTGTTGAGGCCTGCGAGTCCACCATCGAATCCATGATGGCGTTGAGCTCACCGTCGAGCTAGTCACGGGCAACGTGTGTCGGCTCGCCATCCCCGCATCAATGAGGTCACCCGCTCCCATCCGCCAACTCGCTGATTCCACCACCTCGATGCTGTCAACACCCCGCTCGCGCGGCCCCTCGCCCAAACGGCCCGCCCTCTCCGGGTCCGCGTCATTAACCTCCTTCATCCTCTCTGTGGGCCCGTGCGAGGGTGGCGCGCTCTCACAGCTTCACTTTCAGCATCCTTCCGGCTCTCTTCATCGTCCATTCGCGTGTTCCTCTCTTTTCGTCCGCCACCACACGGCCTCCCCCATCCCGCTCTCGTTCTCGCTCTCGTTCCTGTCCTTCCTGATTTCATCCCTCCTCTCCCTCCTCTTCACGCACCCATCCCTCATCCCTCCTTCCCTTTTCTTGATCCCTCTCCCAGGAATGTTGGATCATGACCCATCAAACAGGGCAGATCGGGAGTGGAACAACCTGGGAGATCCTGTTCAACAGTCGGCGGACCTGAGACATAGATGGTGAGCAGAAAAACAAAGAGTTCTTTCTCATGGTTGCGGGGTTCCTCCGTTGTTCCTCGCGCACATAATCCCAATGTCAGTTTTTCATCTCTTTCCATTGGTGTTTAAATTAGGAGACAGTTGCACGGGTCCGAGTCGTATTCGCACTCATTCAACCTCGTAGATTCCGCCGCCATCGCGCCACCTGAAACCCACCATCAGCAACACAAATCCGATGAATGAAACGGTAGAATCTGGCAGAATCTACGTATGCATATCTCATCTAACTCGTCGATGCTCAGTGAATGCGTTGTCGTCTATGCGATGCATCCAAATATAGCACCGCCTCAGATGCATAGAGATCATCATGATACAGTATTACCCTGGGTAGCTATATTTGCCCGTCTTGCCGCGCAGCAGCAAATTCATGCCTTTGCAGCTTGCTTCCTTTTCCAGAGGCCACTCTATGGCTACTATCGGACTTGGACGGAACAAAACTCTGGACGGATTACCTGCAATTTTCTAAAGGTTAAAAACCAACTTTTGATGAACAATCTCGCAGGATGATGCCACCGCCGCTCCAGAGATGGACGTGGAAGCAATCACAGCGGGCAAACCCTGGGGCATGTGCACTTTACAAGCCTTACAGGCATGTGGGGAGCATGTACCGAGGCAATGGCATGACATGTGTTCGGGCATTACTGATAGTACAAAGACGTGCACCGGGAATGACGGCAGGGTCGAATATCTCTTTGTTGTTTTTGTGAGTCCTATTTTTAGCATGGTTCCTGTAATCTCGTCAGGCTTAAGTCAGGCTGGTGGCCGCTACCCTACGCATCCCAGAAATTGGACCTGATAATATTAGAGTGGGGCAAGAATGGGGAAAATTAACACCACATATATTTCCGACAGCTTGAGCTTAGGTACAAAATATAAACGCTGTGGTCAGCAGCGGTTACTAACCATTGATATATCCGGGGTGAGGTGCTTTGTTGAGTGCCCGGGTACATGCCTGCCACATGCCTGGTATGATGCCCCCACGGCATGTAAAGTGCACATGCCCCATGTTTTGCCTCCTGTGAATGTATCATTGGCTTTCGGGCCGTTCTTTCTCCCTCCTTCACAATCCTTCAATGGCTTCCACCTCACCCACTCGTGACCTGGTTATCGATGACACTGACCCTGCTATACAGTACGGCTCCAACGACTGGTTCGTGGCGGACCCCAGTACTACCGGCGTCGGAAACTTTGGCCCGATATACCAAAACACCTCACATGCTACGACCTCGAGCAACTCCACCCTCACATTTCTTTTCAATGGTATCCTATCGTCCCCTGACTTTCGTCATATAATATTCAAACCTTACTATCGCTCAGGCACCGCAATCCACGTTTTCGGCACCATTTCGATTTCCACCGACTCTAACAATGTCACGGATCCGACATGGGACTGCTTTGTGGACGGTATTCAGATTGGTAACCCCCAACCGACGTTCCCGTTCACCGAGAGCAATTGGGAGCTGTGTGATCAGGCCCAGATTGCTTCGGGTTCGCACGAATTGAGGATTCAAGTCCAGTCCAAGGGGCGCGCATTCTACTTGGACCGTTTGGTCTATACGCCTCCGCCAGACGCCACTTTTGAGTCAGCCATTCTGGTCTACCCGAACACGGATCCTTCCGTAAGCTACGGCGCCGGCTGGACTGCACTTGGCGGTCAGAAGACGACCAACACCAAGGATTCCCAGGTCGCCCTCAACTTTCATGGTGGGCTATTCTGTTCCTCCACCCCGAAAAATAGTTTGACCTTCTCTTTAAAGGCACATCCGTCAGTCTCTACGGCACCGTATCCGCACTCCCGTTCAACGCGAGTTGGGGTACATATACTATCGACAATGGCTCACCAGTGAATTTTACGCTCAAGACCCTCAACAGCCCGCGAAGTCCGACCAACTACAATAAAGTGTTGCTTACCACGCCCGATATCCCAAGTGGCCCCCATAATATCGTCATAACATATGGGGGTGACAGTGAACATACCCCACTGGTCGTCGGATGGTTCTTAGTTACCAACACGACCTCCCTGGCGTCCAATTCATCGAGCTCCTCATCTTTCCCGTCCCCATCATCATCCTCGAACACACCCGTCCCTGCCTCAAAAATCACGCCCGTCGGCGCCATAGCGGGTGGCGTCATAGGCAGCCTCGCCCTGTTGGCTATGCTCGCAACCCTTGGCTTCTGCTATAGGCGCCGCCGACGAAGGGCCGATCATGACCAAAACTCAACAGACCCCTACCCCATCACAATGACGAATGCACGAGCGCTGGCGCTTGTAGCGGGGAAGGAGCAGTCGTACAGGTTCTCCCGGGCCACCACTCCCAGCAGCTCCAGGCAGCAAAAACGACACGACGGCTCGACGTCGGGGGTATCACCCAGAACGGGGCCGGCGATGCAGACTAGCGATGCACGTCCGGAGGCGTTGGTAGTTCGACACGAGGATAGCGGGGTGCGGTTACAGTCTGTGAATTTGTTCGGAGCGAGCCGCGACATCGTAGAGCTCCCACCAGATTATAGCCCCGATTAATTGGGTGACGATAAACCGCGGGATCCATGTGCGATTTTTTATTTTTCCGATTTTTATTTTCGGTATTTGTAGGTTGAACCAACAGCGCTGGGAAAGCCTGCCCCATGTCAATGATAAGCGCAGAAAACTTGTATGTGACGTTCCGAAACTGGTCGCAGTTGCGGTGATCAAGAGTGATACAATCTTTTTGGTCTTGCAGGGGGCTCTGATCGATCGATCGCGAATCACAATCATACTCCCCGTGCTCGCAATCCACGTCTCGAATCTCCGCGGCCGCAAATGCACGCGCGCGCAAATGCAGGTTCAAATCCCGGAATTCGAGTCCATAGCCCGCGCTCGCAAAAATCGGCCCACATCTCGAATCGAATCCAAGGCTCGAATCCCGCGCTCGTGAATTCATTCCACCCTTTTCAACTCGCCGCACTCGGAAATACGAATCCCAGCCCTTCTCAACTCGCCGCGCTCACACTGGCAAACTCAAGTCCCGGCCGATGTGCATCGCCTCCGACGAGCACGAATGGGAACGAACGCGAACGAGGGCGAGCGGGGGTTTTGATTTATGATTCCGGCATGTATGGGCGGGTTGGGTGGCGCTGTGTGGTAGGTTCGAGGTAGGTAGGTAGGGAGGGAGGGGTGCGGGCGAGCTGGGTGCGGAGGGAGGTGCGAGGCACATATGCATTGTCCTGTTATTAGTTTTTCCAAAAAAATGGATATCATTTGAATGTACACCGAGTGAGCGGGGTTCCTGTTCTGAGCAGTCTTTCCTCGAGGTGGGGTACCACCGGGTCCGATGAGTAGGAATGAAAAGAGAGAAAAAAGTGTTTTTGGTCTAATCAGATTCAGACACAGGGATTCGAACCCTGAACTACCTCTGAATGGTGGATGGATCTCAATTATAAGCAAAGGCTGTGTTCCCATTACACCATGTCTGAGTTCCTTTCCAATTCATCCAGGTGGTTTTATCAGCTTGTTGGAGTATTGGCAGGGTGATGTTTGAATGTAGAGCCTGTGTGAAGGTGGTCTGTCCTTCCCCCCCTGAGATGGATGTAGGTGGTTGGGAGGTTCGAATGAGAAAATGGAACAGAAGAGAAAAAAGCTCACATTAAGCGGAATTCAGATACAGGGATTCAAACCCTGGACTGCCTCTAAACTCACGAAGAGGCATCAGCATGATTAGAGGCTGTGTTCCCACCACATCTGAGTTTCTTCCTACTAACAGGGGTGAGTTTTATCAGCTTCGTCAGGGAGGATGTAAGAAACAGGAACAGGATGCACCTAATTCAGACACAGGATTTTGAACTCTGGTCTCTGGACTTACCTCTCATAATTTGAGGAATCTGCTAGTACAAATAGAGAAGCTGTGTTCCCGTTACACCACATCTGAGTTCTGCTCTCTCTCTCAGGGCAGTTTTATATAGCTTGTTCAAGGCAGAATGTAAAGAAAAAGGAAAGGGAGGCAAGTATAACTCAGATACAGGGAGTCGAACCCTGGATTGCCTTCATAAAAGAGAAGCGATAGAACATAACTAGAGGCCGTGTTCCCACTACACCATGCCTGAGTTTCATTCCTCTCCATCCGAGCAGCTTTATCAGGTTGTTCTAGGGTAATGGAGGAAGAAAGAAAAATGTGTCATACACATGAACTTAAATGCAGGGATTCAAACCCTGGCCTGCCCCTTGTTGCCACAGACAATGGCTTTATGATTAGAGGCCGTTTTCCCTCTACACCACATCTGAACTCCTTTCCTCTCCATCCGGGCAGTTTTGTTGACGAGTTGAAGGAGTGCAACTAAAAAAGTCATGAATACCATGAATTCAGGCCCAGGGATTTGTGCTCCTGAAAGGCTTAAAAGAACAGCAAGAACAAGAGGCTGTGTTCCCATTACACCATGTCAGAGTTCCTCTCACGCTTCCACGGAAGGTTTTATTAGCTCGTTCGAGGAGGAAAATGTAAGAAGAAAAGAAAAAATATGGACCGATAGGCCATTCAGAAGGACTCGAACCCCGGACTATCCCTGAGAGTCTTGAAAGAATAGCTATAACACGAAGCAATGTTCCCACTACACCACGTCTTGATTCGTTTTCACTACAGCCAGGTAGCTTTATGAGCATGTCGTAGGAGGATGCAATATAAAGAGAAAGCTTCATTGGACATAATAAGAATTTGAACCCTAGATTGACTCCGAAATACATGTTTGAGACTGATACAAGAGGCCGTGCTCCCGCTAAAATAACTCTGTTCTTTCTAGTTGGGTTGTATTAGCTCCGAGGTTGAACCTTCTCGTTTGGCGGCGTGGCGCGGGTGGAACCGGAGGCAAATTTGGCGGGTATGTATAAGGCTGGTATCAGTGCCAAGCCCAGCTGAGGTGTACTTGCGGGAGCTCCCTACGATGATACTAAGCGGTCGTCGAGTCCCGGGCAACGTGCATCGGTTCGCCATCCCCACATCAATGACGTCACCCGCTCCCATCCTCATCGTTCCACCAACTCGTTGATTCTCACCTCGTTGCTGTCGACCCGCGCGGCCCTCGCCCAAGCGGCCCGCCCTCTCCGGCTCCGCGTCCTTCGAGCCGTCCTCAACAGTCTTCTCCGATGCCTCCGACACCGACCACCCTGTGCTCCCCGCCGCGTCGTCCGCCTTCGAGACTCATCGCACGCGCCATCCACTTCCTTCATCCTCACCTCCCCATGGCTCTCATTCACCATTCACATCCATCCATTCAATTTTCTTTTCGTCCTCTCATTCAGCATTCTGCACTTTCTTTCACCGCGCAACGTCCACTTGTCGACACGCCCCTCTCCATCGCCTCTACCCCACGTCGTCGTCCCCGTCATCCCGCGTCCCGCGTCCATATCCACCCGCATTCCATTGCCTTTTCTCCCTCCTTTTCCTGGTGCGTTCTACCTTCACACCCCGCCGCTTCACTTCCTCCCGCTCCTCTTTCTTTCCGATATCCTCTTTATCATCGGTCCGCGTTCCGTCTCCCCTCGCCTTCATGTCCTTCCTCGCCCTCGCCCTCGCCCTCTCTTCCTCCTCTTACCGCACACGCCCATTCTCCCTGCCTGCCTCTTCTCTCCTCCGACCGTCCGCTCTCTCCGCCTTGTCCCCATCTCGATCCATGTCCATGTCTACGTCCACCGTCGCCATCGCCGTCGCCATTCCACCCGCCGCGCATCCATGCCCTTCGGTCGCATCGCCGTTCACCGCCCGCCCGTGTCCCGCGCCTCCCACCAGCCCTCCATCCACCCAACCCTGCGCGCTCCCAGCCATCGCCGCACCCTTGCCCGTCCTGTCCCGTCCCTCCGCGCCCTTTGCCGCCGGTGCGCGGGCGTCGTATCCGCCCGCTGTCTCTTCCTCCACCGCCACATCCAACAGGGCACTCGGATCCCATTCACGCACATCGAATCCCCGTGTTCGCAACTCCACGTTTCGGATTCCCTCCTATCTCAATTCAAGGCTCGACTCACCGCCCGCGCAAATTCAAGGCTCGCGCCCGCGCGCGGCTGCGTCGTCCCCCACTCCGGATCTGGATCGAATCTGAATCCCGACTCCTCCAATTTCCGTACAAGCACATCCGAATCAGAATCGTAGTCCAATGCCCCAGCCCTCAAATCGGCGCGCATCCAGATTCCGGATGCATATCCCCGCGCTCGCAAGCGCAGGTCCGAGTCGCGAGTCCACGCGCTCGCAAATTCACGCGCGCGCAACTTCGAATCCCAGACCTTCTCAATCGACGCCCCGCCCCCCGCGCATCTTGTCCATGGCCAACGCGAACGAGCACGGTCGAATGAACGAGCGTTTATGGTCCCGCGGGATGTGTGGGTCGGGTTGTGCGGTAGGTGCGAGGTGGTAGGTGACGAGTTCAGTTTGTGTATTCACACCACCCGTCCTTGTTTTTTGGGAGTTGAATTTTAGTCATTCTTGTGCGTGTCGTTGCTCTGAATTCCTTCTTAAATCGCAGAATGAGGCACTCATATTGACGCGATGCCCCCTGGGTTCTTTAAATTCTTACTACGACGAACGTGACCCACGGTGTAAACCTGACGCCGGTCTGCATTTATACTGTCTAGTACTTGTCGTGTTGACGGTGAAATTTCAGCTCCGACACAGGCGCCTAAAAGTTCCAGATCGAACAAAGTTCATCATTGTCTCCTGGTCCCTGGGCCCTGACTCACGCGTACCTGGCTAGTATATAACCTCGTCCCGTAGCTTCACATTAGCTACAGCAACCACACGTTGCTCTAACCGCTCTCCTACAAGCATGTTCTTCTCCCTTCGTACCGTCATCGTCGCTGCCAGTGCCATCCCATCCCTAACTGCGATGGCGTTTATCCTCCCCATGGATACCACTAGTGGCCTGTCCAGACGTGCGGTATACAACTGCTCCGATTCAACAAAACAAAGTACCGTTACAACTGCGTAAGCTACACGTATTGTTCCAGCCCTTGCTCGCAGACTGACATCAGCAACGACTCTGATATACAGCTACACCCAAGGAAAACAGCTCGCCTCCGCCGCATCTTCGTACATCACCGCTCATGGTGCCGACTCTTTGTACCAATCCTACTTTGGCACGACACCCACGTCTCAAATCACCTGGCTTTACAACCAGATCGCCAACGAGAGCGGAACGAACTTTACACTTCTATGCGACTGGGATGCGATTAGCGACTGCGGCGCGTCCACCATCGCGTACACTCAGTGGTCGACGACGAGCTGTACCACAAACGGCATCAGTAAACCTTGTGCATGGAAAGCTCGTACCGTGTCAGTCTCGTGCAGGTTGTCTCTCGCACTGAAGCTCACCAACCCTTTAGCTTCTGCCCTCCTTTCTACAGCGAGACGCCCCTCTCTGCTGTCTGCAACGAGAATGCCGATGGGTCCCAAGCCAGCACCGTCGTTCATGAGATGACGCACGCGTTAGGTCGCACCAGTGACTGTAAGCTGCCTTCATCGTCAAATCTTTTCGGCGCTAAAACTAATCTCACCTTCTTATTCTTCAGATCCTCCTTACACTTGTACCAACGCCCAGGTACTTGCCGCTACCAACTCCACGAGGGCCGCGGACAATGCACAGAATTACGGGGTACGCACATCTGCTTCGAAGTGCCCCTAGATCTTGTTACTGACAAGTCTCCTAGTGCTTTTCAACTGCGGTCTACAAGGCGGCTCATTGTTGAGCGGTTGATCCGCTCGGCATCGAACCGTTCCAAAGAGGAGACGTTGCATGGTGTCGACGTTCATTTTCTAATAGTTTGAATTGTTTTGGGGTCCTTGCACTGTATTCTGCTTGTCGAGAGTCTGATCCCGATCAATCACTGGCTGAACATACTGTAAATATGTGTCCCTTGGCCGACGAACCGGACAGGGGGGAAATCCCCAGCTGCGGCCTTGTCTCGTGGGCGGACGGCGGAAGGACGAACTCGCTGCGCGGAGGCTACAGAGAAAACATGAGGGAGGCGTGGTGTCAATCGTTCCAGATTCCAGAAGCCGATCAAATCATGCGTTTCGTCCATATCCTAGCGATACCCACGGCATCCGACGGGATGAGACGATACAGCTCGGCGACACTCAGAGGCCGAGAGAGTCGAATAAGATTTGCCGGCGGTTCCCGGGCGATAGGTTTCACGACAGGGAGGAAAGGCAGGCGAGCACAGCAGAGAGGCAAGAGATGAAGCCCAGCTGAGATGAGCGCAGATAATTGTATTTTCTAACTCTTTCGGAGAGCATCACCCAGCGGAGACATAGGCCAGCGTGGAGCAGATATAGGGGGTGCCATCGAGATGAATTTGCAATGGGATCCTGTTGTGGACTGGCCGGCCGCTTGAATGGCAGGACCATTGGTTAAAACCCTGTGAGACTTGGTTGGAGTTCTCCCCTCCGAGGTATACTTAAATCCCCGATCTCGACGAAATGATAAATCAAATCTAGCATGGCGCCGCAGTCAAGGGCTAGTTCATGCGAGTAGAGTGCAGAAGTCGGCCAGAAGCGTCAGAATGTAAAGACGCATTGTACTCTGATGAAAGTATTTTGGAGCCGTCAATGGCGAGAGAGAGAAATACGTTACGCATGACGCGTGATGTTTCCGGACTACACCTTCAAGAAATGTACCCTTTTGAGTTTTGGTGATGTTACTCGTTTGCAATCTTAATCATGGTCATTTATTTGAGGGGGGCCACATACAATTTCGGAGAGTTCGATATACGCAGAACAAGATACTTTGGCCTTTGGGCACGTCAGTCCGACTCAGGTTCAACTTGAAGGTCTTTCACTAATATCCTGATTGTCCGGGCACAACCCCGAATGCAGGGCCGTCCTTTCCAAACATCTTTCTCAAATCATCCACGAGCTCATTGGGCTTTTCGTAGGCAGCAAAGTGCCCACCGCTGTCATGTTCTCCCTCGAATACAATATTGCCCAATCCCCGTGTCCAGCTGTGGGAACGTGAGTAGACGACCGCCAGGGATTGAAATGAACATGCCTTCTGGGGAACACTAATAGCTCTCGAGGAAAATGCGACAAGCCGAGCGGGATCGTCGGCTTCGGGTTAACAGAGAATACCTTCATGAGATCGCGGTTCCCAGCTTCAAAGTAGATACGGATCGAAGCCGCTGGGCCGGCTCGCGAGAACCAGAAGATGGATACCCAGGTCAAAACTGCGAGCGAATAGGAGTGAGAAAATATGGAACCATGCAGGTTTCATTGCAATACCTTCGTCGTCATCCCATGGATAATT